AGAACATCATCAGTGCTAGTAGAAGAGAGTGTGGTTTGCTGTCAGTTTATGTTCAAGTAGCTTCTTTCAGTGTTGTTGAAAATGGTCTTGGAGGTCCTTTGTTGTGCTATTTGTTGTTAGCTTCTTTGACCGTTCCTTGATTGCGGTATTGTTTTCTTGCCATGGCGATGGTTTTTAGAACCTGAAATAAAACCTCAACGGCCATATTAGCTATGGCCGTGGAGGTTAGGGTTTTTTAGCTTTGCAGACTGAGTGGGGGAAGAATTGCACATCTCTGCCAAAAGTGCCTCGAAAGAGACAACGCTTGCTGGGCACGACTGAGGAAAAAGCAGAAGAAGAAAGAAGAAAGTAGAGAGCATGAAAATGTCTCCAGCTCAAGTCTTTCGGCTGTGATGTGGCCTCCTACGCTGTGAGGTAAGTTTAGCCGAGTCTTATATTCTTCAGAGTTTTGGGGTATGGAGGGAAGTGGATGGTCCTTCCTAAGTAGGTAACATCTGCAACTGAGCTAATAGTGAGCACTGCGTACTGTGCATTCTTAGGAGTAAAACTCCAATGGCAGCTGAAGTAATGTTAGGTTTTGGTTAACTCTACACCACCTTAGAAGACAGAAGACTCAGCTGTCAGCCTGCAGCATTGATGGAAAAAGAAGGAATGGAACGCAAGAATGAATATGATCTCCATCAAAAATGAATATGATCTCCATCAAGAATGCCCCTTCACCAAGTCAATCACAACTCACCTTTACATGATAGATTTTAGAGCATTCTTGCCTGCTGTAAATTTAGCCATGGCAATGGTTATTAGAACCAAAAAAACCTCCTCAGTGGCCCTATTTAATCCTAGCCATGGCTGTTGATGGATTATAGATTTTATAGTTTTCTGCCTGGCATAGTTTTAGCCCTGGCAATGGTTCTTAGAACCAGAAAGAAAACTTCACTGGCTTTTTTAAATGACCAGTGTGTGGCCAGTGCTTGGTAACAGATTTTATAATTTTCTGCCTGGCATAAATTTAGCCCTGGCGATGGTTCTTAGAACCAGAAAGAAAACCTCATTGGCCCCTTTAAATGACCAGTATGTGGCCAGTGATTGGTAATAGATTTTATAGTTTTCTGCCTGGCGTAATTTTAGCCCTGGCAATGTTCTTAGAACCAGAAATAAAACTTCACTGGCCCTTTTAAATGACCAGTATGTGGCCAGTGATTGATAATAGATTTTATAATTTTCTGCCTGGCATAATTCTAGCCCTGGCGATGGTTCTTAGAACCAGAAAGAAAACCGCATTGGCCCCTTTAAATGACCAGTATGTGGCCAGTGATTGATAATAGATTTTATAGTTTTCTGCCTGGCATAATTCTAGCCCTGGCAATGGTTCTTAGAACCAGAAAGAGAACCTCAACGGCCCTATTTAATGCTAGGTGTGGCCGTTGATCTATAGAAGATTTTGTAGTTTTTGAATCTCTGAGATTGAGTGGAGGAACAATTGCGCACCTGGTGCCAATGTTCCTTGAAAGGGACATGGGCAGAGGAAGAAGGAAAAGAACGAAGAAGAAAGAAGAGAGGATGAAAATGTCTCCAGCTCAAGACCTTCGGCGGTGATGTGGCCTGCTACGTTGTGAGGTAAGTTTAGCTGGGACTTGTATTTTTCAAAGTTTTAGGATATGGAGGGAAGGTGGGTGGTCTTCCACTACTGGATGGTCCTTCCTAGGTAGGTAACACCTGCAACTGAAGTAATAGTAAGCACTGCATACTGTGCATTCTTAGAAGTAAAACTCCAATGGCAGCTGAAGTAATGTTAGGTCTTTTTTTATCTCCAAGGCATGTACTCTACACCACCTTAGAAGACAGAAGACTCAGCTGTCAGCCTGCGGCGTTGAAGGAAGAAGGAGGAACCGAATGCAAGAACGAATATGATCTCCATCAAGAATGCCCCTTCACCAAGTCAATCACAACTCACCTTTACATGATAGATTTTAGAGCATTCTTGCCTGCTGTAGATTTAGCCATGGCAATGGTTATTAGAACCAAAAAATCCTCCTCAGTGGCCCTATTTAATCCTAGCCATGGCTGTTGATGGATTATAGATTTTATAGTTTTCTGCCTGGCGTAATTTTAGCCCTGGCGATGGTTCTTTGAACCAGAAAGAAAACCTCATTGGCCCTTTTAAATGACCAGTGTGGCCAGTGCTTGGTAACAGATTTTATAATTTTCTGCCTGGTGTAATTTTAGCCATGGCAATGGTTCTTAGAACCAGAAATAAAACCTCATTGGCCCTTTTAAATGACCAGTGTGGCCAGTGATTGATAATAGATTTTATAGTTTTCTGCCTGGTGTAATTCTAGCCATGGCGATGGTTCTTAGAACCAGAAATAAAACGATGGAGGGAGGGGCATCTCAAGGGGGCTTCACAAAGACAGCTCAAACAAAAGAGGAGTAGCAAGACCAGAGCAGTTTATGCCTACCAAGGGGAGGCGGGGCGGCGCACAGGGAAACATCAAGGGCAGTGTGGCTGCTGGGAATGCTTGCGCCTTGGGAGGGGAGGGCGGGCAACTGGCAAGGGCTGGGGGGCTGATGCGACTGCTTGCGCCTTGGTAGGTGGAGGTCGTGGTCAATGGCAAGGGCTGTGGGGGCCTGATGTGGACTGCGCAGGAGGGAAGGGAGGGCAACTGGCAAGGGCTGGGGGTCTGATGCGACTTTTGGCGCCTTGGGAAGTGAGGGCGGGCAATGCAAGCTGGGGGGCTGATGGACTGCTTGGCGCCTTGGTAGTGGAGGGCGTGCAACTGCAGGGCTGGGGGGCTGATGCGACTGCTTTCTGCCTTTGGTAGGGGAGGGCGGGCAACGGCAAGGGCTGGGGGTTTTTATGCTACTTCGTCTTGCGCCTTTGATGGGAGGGCGTGCACTGGCATGGCTGGGGGGTTGATGCGACTTCTTCTTGCGCCTTGGGGTGGAGGGAGGGCCCACTGGCAAGGGCTGGGGGGGGGCTGATGCGACTGCTTGCGCCTTGGGAGGGGAGGGCAGGTAAATGGCAAGGGCTGGGGGGCTGATGCGACTGCTTGCACCTTGGGAGGGGAGGGAGGGCAACTGGCAAGGGCTGGGGGGTTGATGCGACTTCTTGCGCCTTGGGAGGGGAGGGCGGGTAAATGGCAAGGGCTGGGGGGGCTGATGCGACTGCTTGCGCCTTGGGAGGGAGGGGCAGGCAACTGGCAAGGGCTCGGGGGCTGATGCGACTGCTTGCGCCTTGGGAGGGGAGGGCGGGCAACTGGCAAGGGCTGGGGGGTTGATGCGACTTCTTGCGCCTTGGGAGGGGAGGGAGGGCAACTGGCAAGGGCTGGGGGGCTGATGCGACTGCTTGCGCCTTGGGAGGGGAGGGCAGGTAAATGGCAAGGGCTGGGGGGCTGATGCGACTGCTTGCACCTTGGGAGGGGAGGGAGGGCAACTGGCAAGGGCTGGGGGGCTGATGCGACTGCTTGCGCCTTGGGAGGGGAAGGCGGGCAAATGGCAAGGGCTGGGGGGCTGATGCGACTGCCCCTTGGGAGGGAAGGGAGGGCAACTGGCAAGGGCTGGGGGGCTGATGCGACTTTTTGCGCCTTGGGAGGGGAGGGCGGGCAAATGGCAAGGGCTGGGGGGCTGATGCGACTGCTTGCGCCTTGGGAGGGGAGGGCGGGCAAAGGGCAAGAGCTGGGGGGCTGATGCGACTGCTTGCGCCTTGGGAGGGGAGGGCGGGCAAATGGCAAGAGCTGGGGGGCTGATGCGACTTCTTGCGCCTTGGGAGGGGAGGGCAGGCAACTGGCAAGAGCCTGGGGGCTGATGCGACCTTCTTGCGCTGGTGGGAAGGGGAAGGGCAGCAACTGCAAGGGCTAGGGGCTGATGCGAACTGCTTGGCGCCTTTTGCATGGGATGACTTGCAACTGCTAAGATCTGGGGGCTGATGCGACTGCTTTGCCCTTGTGAGGGGCATTGGCAAATGGCGAGAGCTGGGGGGCTGATGCGACCTGCTTGCGCCTTTGGAGGTGGTCGGGCAAATGCAAGAGGCTGTGGGGCTGAGGCGACTTCTTGCGCCTTGGAGGGGAGGGCACAACTGGCAGGGCTAGGGGCTGATGCGACTTGCTTCGCCTTGGGGAAGGAGGGCGGGCAAATGGAAGGGCTGGGGGGCTGATGCGACTGCTTGCGCCTTGGGAGGGGAGGGCGGGCAAATGGCAAGAGCTGGGGGGCTGATGCGACTGCGCCTTGGGAGGGAAGGGAGGGCAACTGACAAGGGCTGGGGGGCTGATGCGACTTTTTGCGCCTTGGGAGGGGAGGGCGGGCAAATGGCAAGGGCTGGGGGGCTGATGCGACTGCTTGCGCCTTGGGAGGAGAGGGCGGGCAACTGGCAAGGGCTGGGCGGCTGATGCGACTGCTTGCGCCTTGGGAGGGGAGGGCGGGCAACTGGCAAGGGCTGGGGGGTTGATGCGACTTCTTGCGCCTTGGGAGGAGAGGGAGGGCAACTGGCAAGGGCTGGGGGGCTGATGCGACTGCTTGCGCCTTGGGAGGGGAGGTCGGGCAAATGGCAAGGGCTGGGGGGCTGATGTGACTGCGCCGGGAGGGAAGGGAGGGCAACTGGCAAGGGCTGGGGGGCTGATGCGACTTTTTGCGCCTTGGGAGGGGAGGGCGGGCAAATGGCAAGGGCTGGGGGGCTGATGCGACTGCTTGCGCCTTGGGAGGGGAGGGCGGGCAACTGGCAAGGGCTGGGGGGCTGATGCGACTGCTTGCGCCTTGGGAGGGGAGGGCGGGCAACTGGCAAGGGCTGGGGGGTTGATGCGACTTCTTGCGCCTTGGGAGGGGAGGGCGGGTAAATGGCAAGGGCTGGGGGGGCTGATGCGACTTCTGCGCCTTTGAGGGGAGGGAGGGCACTGGCAAGGGCTGGGGGCTGAGAGGGTGCGAAGCTACTGCTTGCGCCTTGGGAGGGGAGGGCAGGTAAATGGCAAGGGCTGGGGGGCTGATGCGACTGCTTGCACCTTGGGAGGGGAGGGAGGGCAACTGGCAAGGGCTGGGGGGTTGATGCGACTTCTTGCGCCTTGGGAGGGGAGGGCGGGTAAATGGCAAGGGCTGGGGGGGCTGATGCGACTGCTTGCGCCTTGGGAGGGAGGGGCAGGCAACTGGCAAGGGCTCGGGGGCTGATGCGACTGCTTGCGCCTTGGGAGGGGAGGGCGGGCAACTGGCAAGGGCTGGGGGGTTGATGCGACTTCTTGCGCCTTGGGAGGGGAGGGAGGGCAACTGGCAAGGGCTGGGGGGCTGATGCGACTGCTTGCGCCTTGGGAGGGGAGGGCAGGTAAATGGCAAGGGCTGGGGGGCTGATGCGACTGCTTGCACCTTGGGAGGGGAGGGAGGGCAACTGGCAAGGGCTGGGGGGCTGATGCGACTGCTTGCGCCTTGGGAGGGGAAGGCGGGCAAATGGCAAGGGCTGGGGGGCTGATGCGACTGCCCCTTGGGAGGGAAGGGAGGGCAACTGGCAAGGGCTGGGGGGCTGATGCGACTTTTTGCGCCTTGGGAGGGGAGGGCGGGCAAATGGCAAGGGCTGGGGGGCTGATGCGACTGCTTGCGCCTTGGGAGGGGAGGGCGGGCAAATGGCAAGAGCTGGGGGGCTGATGCGACTTCTTGCGCCTTGGGAGGGGAGGGCAGGCAAAGGGCAGAGCTGGGGGCTGATTGCGACTGCGTGCGCCTTGGGAAGGGGAGGGCGGGCCATGCAAGAGCTGGGGGGCAGATTCGACTTCTTGCGCCTTGGGAGGGTAGGGCAGGACAACTGGCAGGCTAGGGGGCTGCTTCGACTGCTTGCGCCTTGGGAGGGGAGGACGGGCAACTGGGCAAAGAGCTGGGGGCTGATGCGAACTGCTTGCCCTTGGGAGGGGAGTTGGGCAAATGGCTAAGAGCTGGGGGGCTTGATGCGACTGCTTGCGCCCTTTGGAGGGGAGGGCCGGCAATGGCAAGAGCTGGGGGGCTTGTGCGACTTCTTGCGCCTTGGGAGGGAGGGCAGCACTGGCAAGGGCTAGGGGCGGATGCGACTCGCTTGCGCTTGGGAGGGGAGGGCGGGCAACTGCTAAAGCTGGGGGGCTGATGCGACTGCTTGCGCCTTGGGAGGGGAGGTCGGGCAAATGGCAAGGGCTGGGGGGCTGATGTGACTGCGCCGGGAGGGAAGGGAGGGCAACTGGCAAGGGCTGGGGGGCTGATGCGACTTTTTGCGCCTTGGGAGGGGAGGGCGGGCAAATGGCAAGGGCTGGGGGGCTGATGCGACTGCTTGCGCCTTGGGAGGAGAGGGCGGGCAACTGGCAAGGGCTGGGCGGCTGATGCGACTGCTTGCGCCTTGGGAGGGGAGGGCGGGCAACTGGCAAGGGCTGGGGGGTTGATGCGACTTCTTGCGCCTTGGGAGGAGAGGGAGGGCAACTGGCAAGGGCTGGGGGGCTGATGCGACTGCTTGCGCCTTGGGAGGGGAGGTCGGGCAAATGGCAAGGGCTGGGGGGCTGATGTGACTGCGCCGGGAGGGAAGGGAGGGCAACTGGCAAGGGCTGGGGGGCTGATGCGACTTTTTGCGCCTTGGGAGGGGAGGGCGGGCAAATGGCAAGGGCTGGGGGGCTGATGCGACTGCTTGCGCCTTGGGAGGGGAGGGCGGGCAACTGGCAAGGGCTGGGGGGCTGATGCGACTGCTTGCGCCTTGGGAGGGGAGGGCGGGCAACTGGCAAGGGCTGGGGGGTTGATGCGACTTCTTGCGCCTTGGGAGGGGAGGGCGGGTAAATGGCAAGGGCTGGGGGGGCTGATGCGACTGCTTGCGCCTTGGGAGGGATGGGCGGCAAATGGCTAGGGCTGGGGGGGCTGATGCGACTGCTTCGCCTTGGGAGGGAGGGCTGGCAACTGGCACGGGCTGGGGGGGCTGTGCACTGCTTGCGCCTTGGGAGGGATGGGCGGCAAATGCAAGGGCTGGGGGGGCTGATGCGACTGCTTCGCCTTTTGGGAGGGGAGGGCGGCAAATGGCAAGAGCTGGGGGCTGAGGCGACTGTTTGCGCCTTGGGAGGGGAGGTCGGGCAACTGGCAAGGGCTGGGGGGCTGATGCGACTGCTTGCGCCTTGGGAGGGGAGGGCGGGCAACTGGCAAGGGCTGGGGGGCTGATGCGACTGCTTGCGCCTTGGGAGGGGAGGGCGGGCAAATG